ATACTGAAGCCATAGCGCTATCATCACATTTTATGCCATTATTGTGATGTATTTGAATTTTAGTATATTTTTATACATCCAAATTAACTTTTTCCAAGAACTTACAACTTGTTAATTCATACAGTCAATGGTTGTTTATCCATTTGATTAGGCTAATCATTCCTTCTTACATTTCTAATCTCTCAAGCTCAAAATCCTTAAAAAGGACCTGTAGTGACAGTGCATCGATGATATGTTTTGGTTTTGCCTGAAAAAATATTCTTATTTTACCCAGATTAAAAGTTAGCTTCCTGTAAAATTCCACTTTGGCAGTTATTTTCTCTTTGCACTTTGAGGCTGGTGTCTCATTGTCTCCAGGCATCACTGTCACTAAGAAGTCTGCTACTGTCAGTTAAATTGTCGTTTTACTGAAGAAAGGAAATCTGACTTTTCCAATGATCGTTTTCAAGATTCCTTTTACTTTCTTCTGAAATTCTGCTTCAGTGTCTCTAACTACTGAGATACCCTTTCCATGTCTCTAATTCATTATACACCCTCAGTCTAAGAACACCAGCTCTTATTTCTTTGAACATACCCACTTCTCCCCTGGTCTCCCCTTACTTGTAGAACTCAGATGTATTTTTGACTTTTGCCTTCTATCCTCTGTTTTATTTCTTGCCTTCCTTTTGTGTTTTCCATCTCCTGGATCCTTTTACGCTGCATTTTGGGTCATTTCTTTAGATCTTTCAGTTTACAGTTTTATATTAAGGCGTGTTTAATGTGCTCTTTACCTTACCATTGGGTTTTAAATTTCAAACATTAAAATTTTCATTTCTAGAGGTTCTTTAATAAACCTATTTGGTATTTGACAGTGCCATTTATTTCCTTTCCCATGTTTTCAGTTCAGTTTTTAAAATATCACTATTTTAACGACACTTAAAAATTTTTTACCTGTGGCTTCTATTAACTGAAATTATTAGGGTTCTATTTCTGATGCCTATTTTCTCTATTCATGATGTTTGTTTCTGTGTGTTTCAGTTTTAGAGTTGTGATTTTTGGCGGGGAGAGGTACCTGGGATTGAATCTCCTGAGCCACCTCCCCAGGATCATTTTTACTTTTTTATTTTGAGACAGGATCTCCCTAAGTTGCTGAGGCTGGCTTTGAACTTGCGATCTTTGGACTTGCCTCAGCCTCCCAAGCCCCTGGGATTACAGACAAGCGCACCACACCTGTCATGAATTGTTTGATGGGACTTTTCTTCTGAGATGTCTGAGGAGTCTCTAGTGTTTCCCTGGAGAATGGATCTATTTCCTCCTTTCTAGCAACCTGGGTATAATTAACCTGGCATTATAGAAATCTATTATCTTGATCTGGGGTTTTCCTGATCATGCAGGTTGTATACATTCAAATCTTACATCTGTTTAAAGAAAATTAACATCACCCCTAAAAAAGATTCCCGTCCAGACAGACAAGTCCCTCTTTTTCACTTTCTCTCTTTCCAGGGCCCAGACTTTCCTTTCAGCCCATCATTTCAGGAAGGATATTACCTTCACCATCTGAATGAGTTTCACATCCGGCATGTGTGAGCTTGTGTGGGCTTAGGACCATGTCTTCTGCCCCCACAGGACTGCTACGTTCAGACCCTTCTGTAACCAAGATGGCCAGACGCCTCCAGGACAGTGTGGGAGAAGTGCCACCTAACAAGCTGCCTTTCACTTCCCCCCTTATTGATGGCCCATGAGTACTTCACACTTTTTTGAAAGCTTGGCCAGGCATTTTGAGTATCTTTATGAAACTATTTCAACCTGTAGTTTTTTTTGGTGTGTGTGTGGTGCTGGGGATTGAACCCAGGGCCTTGTACATGTGAGGCAAGCACCCTACCAACTAAGCTAAGTCCCCAGCTCAGTTCTGGTGTTTTGTTGCAGAATTCCTAGGCTAATCAGCTGGCATGACATGAAATATTGCATGAAACAACACTGCAGGTTTAAATATTTTAATATTTTCTCCTTTCAGTCTTTTGTTGAATTAATTCATGGTTTTGGAGACCTATGAACCACACAAACACATATATTTAAACTTTTGCAGTGTAAACATGAAGAGAAACATTTTTTGAATAAAATATTAGAGGGTTCAATCATCTTTCTTCAGAGTCTCTTTGATATTCAAGGAATATTCTTTTTGAAATGTATATGTTGTCATCATTGTATTTTTTCTTTTTGTAGTTTTTTTTTTTTTTGATGGGGAGGGGTTTAGGGCAGCGGCTGCTGCTGGGGCTTGAACCCAGGGCCTTCCATATGCTAAATATGCTCTTATTACATAGTTGCATATCCAGACCTATTTACATTTTATTTTGAGACAGGGTCTCACGCTACTAAGGAGGCTGAGGCCAGACTCAGCATCTTAGCAAGGCCGTGTCTCAAAATAAAAAATAAAAAGGATTGGGGGTTTAGGTCAGTGGTAGAACATCCCTGGGATCAATTCCTAGTACTGAAAGGAAAAAGAAAATGCTGAGGATAGTTGGAGAGGGAATGTTTGAGGATGCCTAATTCTATGAGGTACCCAGTTCACTAAGTGGTTTCCATGTCACGAGGATTATTGCTTTATTATAGGTCATAACCATGGCAGTGAGGCTAAATAATGCTCAGAAAATTAGGAAACCTTCTCTCCTTTAGTCACAAGGGCTTTCCTCCAAGCAGATGATCTCTTTCATTTAAATCACAATTTATGTCTATATTTGTCTTGTAGCTGCTAGTTACAAGGCAGCTCTGTAAGATCTACATCTTAAATCAATGTATCACACAGGTAATTATTCAAATGAGGAAAAAGTCAAACTTCTCTGGTAGTTGTTGGGAAAAAAATGTAAGCTTGACCAAAACTTCCATCTGTCATTTTGATTTTAGAGACATGAAAAGAGTTTGAGTAAAACAGATGTACTCCATCAATTCCAAGAGGCGTATTTTTCTAGATTTTACCATTTCCAATATCAGGATGCATGTTAGAAGTCCGAAGTTACAATTATTATCAGTTTGTTTTAATTTTCTTAGCTATACGTGAAATACATCCTACAGTATCTGGTGTCCGAGGTTAGACTCTAGTCTAGAAACCTAATCTAGCAATGTACTATCAATGATTAGCTAAAATACTAAGCTGAGGGCTGGGGATGTGGCTCAAGTGGTAGCGCGTTCGCCTAGCATGCGTGCGGCCCGGGTTCGATCCTCAGCACCACATACCAACAAAGATGTTGTGTCCACCGAGAACTAAAAAATAAATATTAAAAAATTAAAAAAAAAATAAATAAAATACTAAGCTGAACCCATGGCAGTGCAGCACAAAGCTTTCAAGGGGATGCATTCCATCAGAGTAGAAATGCACATGTTGCTTATGGTGACCAGGCACTGTTTTTGGAGTTTTACTTCTTCATTTTATTTCTTACAAGTATCATTTTGACTTCATTTTCATTATTAGCTTCATTGTTAGGAGCAGGGCAGTGAAGCACAGAGGGGTCGAGTTGGTCAGCATGGGTGATTTAGTGTTTCACTTAAAGCGTTTATCTGCTGGAAAGCAACAAGTATTGTTGAAACATTTTATTAAAACATGCTAATTTTTAATACCTGCCAAACAGAAGTCTATTTGCAGAATGAGTAGTCAAAATAGTTTTCCTGAGGCCCTACCAGCAGCCCAAATAATGATCCCCTGCAAAAATATATGGAACCCATAAATATACGATCTTACATAGCAAAGGGACTTTGCTGATGTGGTTAAGGGTAGAGATCTGGAAGTGGGATTATTTTGGATTCAGGTGAGCTCTTAAAATCAAAGATTCTGGGCTGGGGATATAGCTCAAATGATAGAGTGCTTGCCTCGCATGCACAAGGCTCTGGGTTCAATCCCCAGCACCACAAGAAAAATAATAAATAAATAACCAAAGATTCTTTCTCAGCTGCAATGAACGGGTAGACGGAAACTGCTAAGGGCAAGCAAACAACATTTCCTAAATCCTCCAAAAAGGAATGCAGTCCTTTTATACTTAATTTTAACCTAAAGAGACCCTCATAGGACTTCTGACCTACAAAACTATAAGATAAGAAATGAGCGGTGAAAAAGTGGTGGTGATTGGTTGCAGCAGCAGCAGGAGCTGAACCCAGGAGTAGTACACAGCACAATGCAACCATTTCAGCACGTGCAGCAACTGTGTCTGGCTCACGCCACGGCGTCTGGGCGCTGTCGGACGGGCAGTAGCCCTGCGGACGAAGCTGGGTCTGGAGGTCCGCGGGCCCGCGCTCCCGGGTCCTAGGCTTGCAGACCAGCGGCGGCGTCCGCGGGAGAGGAGCGCCGAGAACGCAGCGGCATTCCTACGCCCGCCTTCTGTCGACGGCAAGAGTGGCCGCAGCTGCGATTCACCCGAAGGTGTCTCACCCGAGGTCGCGCGTCCTAGGATGCGGTCGCTGCCCCGCTCCTTACCAGCCCTGCCCCAACCCCAGTCCCCAAGCCTTTTCCAACTTCTTTCAGCAGCAAAAGCCGGCTCAGGACGGAGAGCGACAGCAAACCACGCGATAGTTGCAGTTCCCGCGGGCTTTTCGGATCGGCGTCTCCTGGGGAGAGGACGTCCGGAGGTTGGCCCCGCCCACAGGAGCCAAGGTCTTCTTCTCGCGATACTCTGGTGACAGCTCGAGAGCCCATTCTCGCGGGATTTCCTCAGTCCGGCTTGGAAGTGGTGGTGGGCTGTGGAGGGAAGCTCGACCCTGAGGGGGAGATTAGCTGGGACCTGTGCCCGCTTCCGGTTCCCCACCGGCGGAGGGGCCCGCGTCGACGAGGGGAGCGCCGTCTCGCCAGCCTCACCCAGTGCCGCGTCTCGGACGCCGCCGACCCGCTCTGCTGGGTCCTCTGACCCCCTCCCGGCCCCGCGAGGGGCTTGGGGCGATGCGCGGAGCGCGGCTGGCGGTGGCGTGGGCCGCAGCTGGCCCGCCCGCCCGCCAGGGGTTCGGTGCCGCCGGGCTGCCCGGCTCCGGCCCCCGGCCCGATGGATCCGGAGGCCCCGAGGTCGCGCGCGGAATCCGCCCCCAAAGGTATAGGCTCCGCGCTTGCCGCCGCGGACACCTGCCTGCGGCGTCGCGCCCGCGCCCCCCGGCCGAGGCAGAGCGCTATGCTCCCTGGAGTGACAGCTGCCAGTCCGAACCCCTTTAGGGCTGGGACCCATTCAGCGATTCAGGGTGGTGGACCTGGCCTCTGCAGTCAGACTCCCTGCAGCACTGCCGAGCCACCTGGCGCAGTGTCCCCGTCTGTGAACTTGGCGTCAGTGCCGAGTTTTTGTGATTGTTAAATTAGACGGGTGTCTGCAGAGCTTTATGCGATTGCCCACGTGGTGCCTAGACGTCATTCTTCATCAATGTACGCCCCGTGCCGGGCAGGGGGGGTCGTTAAGGAGAGGGGCGAAGGTTGCGATATTTGTTTAGTTCGCTTACTTTTATTGCACAGTTTTAATACGTGCTGTGTTGAGGCAGGGGTTTATATGCTGCCACAAGTCGTCGGGGAGGTGTTCTTGTCCCTAAATTAGTAGCTTACCACATATTGAGTGTTTTTTTCTGATTGTTTATCGACTCGCTTTTCCGTTGAGTAAGGTGTTTATCTCATTAAATAGATGAGGAATTGAGGGGTAAGTTTCAGGAAGGACAGTGCCAGCCTGAACTCTGAGGGCTGGGATTGTTGACATTGTCCTTCAGGGTCCTCTAGTATGTATACACGTATGCCTATAGGAGTCTGCAGGTAAAAGCAAACAGATGAAGCTGCTGAGCAGAGATGGTCACTGGGATGCTCATTTGCAGTGAAATCTAGTCACTTGGCTATTTAGGGAAAGTTCCAGTGGAAGGAACAGAAAGCTTAGGGGCCCTGGGGTGGGAGCCTGCTTGTCATATTCCAGTAGCAAGGAGGGTGAATCAAAGAGGGCGAGAGAACAGATCATGGTCTAGCATTACTTCCAGTCCTCCGTTCAGTCCAACAGGAAACCCTCCCAATTGACAGTTTGTTCTGGAGTCTGGATAGTGAGAGATTCCTCCCTAGCTCAGACCCTATCTGTTTAGTTCTAGAAATTATCCAAACTCAGGAAGCAGAAAGATACCCATAAGTTATGTGATGCCCTTCACGGTTTTTTTGCACATGCTATACCACTTGGGACACATTTTTTAGACCCTTCCCCCCCCCCCCCCCCTTTTTTTTTTTTCTTTGAAATTTCATGTTGAGACAGGATGTTGCTTAGGTTGCTAAGGTGATGGTGATGTGCATTAGGGCAAAGGTCACTAAGCTACTGCCCACTCATAGACCAAATCTAGTCTGATGCCTCCTTTTGTAAATAAAGTTTTATTAGAACTCAGCCCCATTTGTTTATTATCTGCAGTTGTTTTTGCCTTACAGTGACTAAAGAATGTATGCCCTCAAAACTTAGAGTTAGCAAAAAATAGCTAATATCTGATTCATTACAGATATTACAGTTGGCTAGTATTTGCTTTAGAGTGATGGTGGCATGGAGGAAAGTGATATTTTTGAAGTAGCACCAGAAAGATTCTGATGGATTGGATATGGGAGTAATATAAAAAGAGGATTAAGGGTTGACTAATTGTTTTCTACCTTGAAAAGTTAATTATTAATGATCCCAGTTAATCAGATGCAGAAAGACAAGTCATTATTTTTTACATTAATTTTTCTCTGCTTTATACCCATTGTAAGACAATGTCTAGTGAATAATTGCTGCTTCAATCATATGTTGAACAATAGATAAAGAATTAAGTCTTAAAAAGGAGAAGACATTTGCTAGGTAGACAACCTACATCAATCAATGTGTTAAGAGTTGTAGTAAGGGAACTCTAGGTTTTAATTCTCAAACAGCACTGTTGTTAAGACAAGACCCACTGACCCATTTGCTGTTTTACCCTTACAGTAGATCAGAGTGTTAATTTCACATTAAAACTCTGTCTTTCAGAATAGTGTAACAGTTCTCAGTTTGGATTGAAAGATTAGTAGAAACAGGTTTTTCCCTGCTTACTTATGATTGCTGTGATAAAACCACCTCACCAAAATTAATGGGAATTATGGCTTTACTTTTGAGGAACAATTGATGAAAAATATCATAAGGAGTTATTCTTGCTTAAGACAATATAAACGTCATATTATGATCATGGATGTTATGAAAATCTAATTAGAGATCATTAGGAAGACTCTAGGAAACTACTTATCTTAATGAGAAATGTGTAAGAAAAATAATTCTTAATATTCTTGTGATTATAGTCATATAATACTTTGGAATCTTGCCGTAGAAATTCCATTTGGAGGGGGTAGAGAGAGAAGAGGGGAGGGGAGGGGAGGGGGGATAGTAGAGGATAGGAAAGGCAGCAGAATACAACAGACACTAGTATGGCAATATGTAAATCAATGGATGTGTAACTGATGTGATTCTGCAATTTGTATACGGGGTAAAAATGGGAGTTCATAACCCACTTGAATCAAAGTGTGAAATATGATATATCAAGAACTATGTAATGTTTTGAACAGCCAACAATAAAAAATTAAAAAAAAACATTTCAAAAAAAAAGAAATTCCATTTGGAAAAATTTTTACTTAGCTTCCTTTATTTGGTACCTTTCAAATTGTACTAATAGTATACTGTATCAAGAACTCCTCTCCATTCACAGTGCTGTATCTTCAGGATGGAAAATAAACAGTTCAGCACAGGATAAGTTCACAAATATAGAGATCAGACTCCTCAAAGAATAATAAGGTGTTAGAGAACTTAGAATTCATTTCCTAAAAACCTCACTATTTGAAACCTAGAAGGGAAAAGGTTGTGACAAAGCTGTAACATCACCCTGTAATTGGAGTTTCCCTTGTCTAGTTGAATACCAATTGGAACAGTGGTTTAGAAGCAGCAGTATTGACCGTGAAAAGAAGCACCTGTCTCCAGAGAAAGGAGGTGGGAATAATTTAAAAAGATGCAGACAGATGAACCACAGAAACATTGCTGTCCAAAGGATTTAGCTTACTTTTTACCAAATCCTACTCAATCTTACTCTGTCATATCATGAATAATATATAATGTTCATGAGTCAGTAGGAGTAGTTAAATCAGTGGTTCACCCTGGCTGAGCATCAGTCTCATATTTGAATTCAACAATAACAATGAAACAAAATAATAAAACCAGATGCCCATGACCCATATGTACTGAATCAGAATCACCAGGGGATTATGGCATATCACCAGGATAAGAGTGACAGGAAGTGAATTATATGCCCTTTGTTTATTATAGGACATCTGATAATATATTTTAGGAAAATATCTACACATAAATATATTTTACTTTGTTTCAGTTATTTTAAAAAGATTTTTGGATTCATTTTTTTTTTCTCATAATAGTGGATAAGATGTTATTTATAAGCTAGATCTGAAAATTTTCTTTTCTTTATTATTGTAGACAGGTGGCTTCCAGGAGAAAGATGTCTTGCTCCTTCTCCACATGATGAAAAACTTTGTGAAGCAAGCATAAAATCTATCACAGTGGATGAAAATGGCAAGTCATTTGCTGTTGTCTTATATTCAGATTTTCAAGAAAGGAAAATACCTCTTAAAAGACTTCAAGAAGTAAAATCTGCTAAAGGTTGCCCCAGGAGTTTTATATTTGATGATGAAGATTTGGAAAAACCATTTTTCCCAGACCGAAAATTTCCATCATCTGCTAATGCCTTTAAATTATCTGAAGATGGAGATTCTATTCCTTATACCATTAATAGGTATTTGAGAGACTACCAAAGGGAAGGAGCTCAGTTTCTCTATGGACACTACATCCAAGGAAGAGGATGTATTCTGGGTGATGACATGGGACTTGGAAAAACAGTTCAGGTATTTATTCTAATTAGATTATAATTAAACTTCAATAATGTCATTATATTATATACAGGAGTGGATTCTGTGTGCAAATCTCTATTTGTACTACCATCATGATGGATATTTGTGTGTGTACATGTGCGTGTGTTTGTTTTTGTCTCACCAACTGGACAGAAAAATCTCAAAATTGACTGTCTCTATTTTATCTTCAATACCTATTTAGTACCTTTGAAATATATTACATTTTGGCATTAGTTGACTTTGGTATTATTTTACCTGTGGTAATATTTACATTATATTTATATAAATTAATATATACTAATATGTATTGATATATATATTAATATTTATATTATATCAATTATATTTAATATAAACTTTCTTAATAATACTTTAGGAAGGAAAGAATTCTACATTTGGTATAGGACATGGCATGATTTGCTACAGGTCTTTTATGCATATCATTTTGAGTTTCTCATATCAGAAGTTTCCTGATCTGTAATGTCTGAACTACTTAGGCATTCAACTGATGGACATTCCCTTAAATGTATACTGGAGTTTGTATATTGTGTACTTTTCATAGAGGGTATTTTGTTAGTTTTATGTTGGTGTAAACCAAATTACCCCCAAATTCAGCGGCTTAAAACAATACACATTTATCACCTCATAGTTTCTGTGGGTCAGGAGTCTGTGTGCAGCTTAGCTGGGCCCTCTGGCTCTGCCTCTTGCAGGCTGCTGTCTCACGTTGACCTGGGAGGATGCGCTTCCTAGCTCACATGGGTGTTGGTAGGATTTGGTTCCTTGTGGCTTGTGGGACTCAGGCCTCCCATGCTTCTTTGCTGCTTGGACCTTGTTATGGAACATCTCACAACACATAGCTTGCTTTATCAGGAAAAGCAAGTAATAGGGCAAGAAAAAGTGCTAGGAAAATGGAAGTCATGGTCTTGTAACCTAATTACAAAAACGTTGTCCCCTCCTTTTGCCACTTTCTGTTCACTGGAAGCAAGTTGCTAACGCCACTTCAAGCTCAACTAGAGGAAGGTTGTGAATACAGAGAAGTGGGGATTGCTGGGAACTCTATCAGAAGCTGCCTGCCACAGGCTCCTTAACTTAGATGTTCAAAGAGGTCTGTGATCCAAAAGGATTCGAGTTTTGAATCTGGACTTTATGCTGAACAGTCACCCTGGGTTTTCAGAAGTCACCCAGATTTTCACTCTGGGTTTGTCTAGATTGTGATGAAGGCCTTCTGTGTTTCCTTCCTAATTGAAGTTGTGCTATTTTATTCAGTGATACTTCCATTGGTTAGTGGAGCTTAAAGGTAAGTGAAAAACTCAATTTAACATTTAAAAACAGCCTAGTCATGCTACTGTGTATGAGGTTTTGGTGTGAAAAGGTAGGCTAAAATAAAATCCTCCAGTAGTCACAGCATGTTTTGCTTTTAGCCATCCTCTGTGTTTCTTTACACCCAGGCAATGAAGGTGGTTTAGGCCTCCACACGGGAGGTGCTGAGTTGTTTGTGGGATGAGTGAATTTGTTTCCTTGGGAGGGTAGATGACAAGAATAAAGAAAGGAACCTTCGGGATGTGACCAAGATAAGTGGAGAAGTTCTAAAGGAAAATAAGTAAAGAAAGCTCTGGTGTGACTAACTTTACATATACTTGTACTGTTTTGCATGTACTAGAATGTTCTTTACTATTCTTTGACTAATCAATGCGTGTGCATCTTCAAAATCAGAAACGTGATGGTATTATAAAAAGTGACCATCTAAAATGAATACAATTCAAATTGGGCATATTTAGCCTCAAATTAGAAGCTCATCTTTCATGCCCAAGCCCATGTTTACAAAGAAATTCCCTTTATTTTCCATTTTACAGAATTATTTTTAACGGCTGATCTTACTGCAGAGTTGCTGGTTTCCTTGGAAGGCTTTGAGCAGCTGTACTCTGTGCCATGAAAGTCTTAGGAAATAGTTTTTGTACTGATTTGATACCAGGCTGGATTTGTCTGATCCTTTGGGACTCACTTCTTTGATTATTGTTGTAACTTGGAGAATAATTTCTACATAAATAGGCCATTTGGCAGAGCTTCTATAGATATAGATTAGATATAGATATAGATATAGATTGAGCCAATTGAAGAAATGTGGACAATAGTTTATGAGTTCATTCGAATTTCAAAATACTATAGAATTGGGTAATGAAAATAGACCAGCGGCATTTACTATTTTGACTATGGTTCTGTCTTCTTTTCTTCTTCATCCCCTGGTCCCTTTTCCTAATTTTAGCCTCTAAGTTTTCTCCTTTTTATTTTCAAACTTGGTCATATAATGAAATTAAACTTTTTTTTGAGATGAGGTATCACTACGTTCTCCAGGTTATTCTAGAACTCCTGGGCTGAAGCAATCCTCCTGCCTCAGCCCTCTGAGTAGCTGAAACTATAGGCACCCAGCTTTTTTCTAAAGCTTGTTTTACATAACAAATAGTGTCTTTCCCTTATTTTAAATTTAAGAGTAGACAAATTTGATATTTTGTATTCCACCAGGGATGAGGATTGAAAAATGTCCATTTGGTGTGGTGACAAAGAAGTCATTAGTATCTTCAGCAAAAGCCATTTTGCTGGAGTTTATGTTAGTTTTATATTGAGTAAATGAAAACATGGAAAGGAGAAGTGTACTTACCTCTTTAAGAAATGTGACTTTGTGTACTATAGTGTCACAGCCACATCAGTGTTTATATAGCAGCTCAATTCACAATAGTTAAGCTATGGAACCAACCTAAGTGCCCTAGACAGATGAATGGATAAAGAAAATGTGGTACATATACACAATGGAATATTACTCAGCCATAAAGAGGAATGAAATTATGGCATTTGCCAGGAGATGGATGGAACTAGAGACTATCGTGTTAAGTGAAATAAGCCAATCCCCCGTAAAACAAAGGCTGAATGTTCTCTCTGATATGCGGATGCTGACTCACAATGGGGTGTGTGGGGAGAAGTGACAGATTGAACAGGGGGGAATGGAAGCACAGGAGGGGGGATGGGAATGGGAAAGAGAGCAGAATGAATTGGACGTCACTTTCCTATGTTCATATATGAATACATGACCAGTGAACTCCACATCATGTACAACCACAAGAATGGGAAGTTATGCTCCATGTACATATGATGTCAGAATACATTCTACTGTCATGCATAACTAAAGAGAACAAATAAGAATAAAAAGAAATGTGACTTTGGAAGGGGACAGGAGTGACCTAGTAGCAGTTGAAGGAAGTGGTGTGGGATTTTAAGGGAGTTTCTTCTTTGTGGTTTTATGTTTGCGGATCAGACATTCTTAACTATTTTTTAAGTGAATTGAAAGGATCTAGTTAAGAGGGAATAGTTGAATATGCAACATACATAAATATATGTATACATACACATATAGAAATTAACAAAAAGTAGAGTTGCATGATCATTACTATTTTATAATCAGCTTTTTTTCTGTTGTTGAAGGTTCTAAACTGATTTTTTCCCCAACATCTTATCAAACTTTTCAAACAAAAAGAAGAGTTAAAAGAATTGTGCAATATAGCTATATATCAGCTGCCTAGATTTTGTTAACATTTCATTACTCATGGTTTTATGACATACCTATCCATCCATCAATCTATCTTTTGCTACATTTTAAAGTGGCAGACGTCTGTATATTATATCCACAAACACTTAAGTATATATTTCATGAACTAGAGTTCAATACTTTTAAGTAACCTCTGAGGAATAGTTGCCTAAAATTAAAGTGAATATATATAAGGAGTGAATATATATTTTTTAATGCATATATCATTCACATATATTTCAATGTATGTGTGTTTATGTGGGTGCCTGTCTTTAATTAAAATATGATTACAAATCATAAAAAGGAAAGATCTTCAATATACTGTTCAAGGAGTTTTGAAGTGTATATGTCTGGTAACCAATATGTTGATCAAGATACAGAATGATTCTTTCATTCTACAAAATTTACTTATGTCCCCTTCCAGTCAATACCCTGGTTACCTGAACTTTTCATTGCCCGTTGACTGTGATTCAGTGTTAAATTATATTCCAAGATGTTGTCAGAGTCCAAAATGTTATGAATATTTATATGAAGAAATTCAATCACTTCTAAGCTTCAGTTACTTATTTTTGAATGTAAAATTTTGAATATAAAACTTTAAGCTTAACTGATTCAAATACTTACAAAGTGTAAATTCCAAGCATGTATCAAAGATCTTTTTCTTGGGTGATATTAAAAATATTTAAATTGTCTAATGCTTAAATAAGGTTATTTGCCTCCTTTAATTTATGTCAGCCAATTTGTTCACATTAATCTCTCCTTGAATTATTTAATAGATGTTTATTTTGTGTTCTTTTGTTTACTTTTTCCTACCCATGCCCCTTCAGTGTATATTCTCACCACCTTTTTGTTCCTAACCCCTCAATCAGCTGAATTTCACATTACTGAATCAATCAGAATAGCCTATTGTCTAGACTTTTCCAGCACCCAACACAGTGCCTGTCATGTACTAGGGAGTAAATACAGTTTTATTAAAGCATTAATGAATTTTAGATTGAATTGGGTAATAGTATGGTTCTGTGGTTATCACTTATATTTAATTATGTGCCAGGGTTTTTAATGGACATTTTTCATTGAACATTTGTATTAATTAGGTATTATTGCCTCTATTTTATTGATGAGAAAGTAAAATTCATAGAGCAGTTATATAAATTGCCCATGGTCACATAAATAGTATAAGGCTGGTTGGTCAAACTCTGAAGTTTTGCTTAACTCTTGCAAATTAAAATGCAAATTTTGTTAGACTGTTTTAAGGCTCAGGATAAGATTTGACCATTCTTGGTATATCATTATTTTGTAATCTTTTTGACAGCATAATTTCCTCAAAATCAGTAGATTTTATATATTATAACACTTAAGATTATGTATAGGGAACCAAGTTTCCTTACTTTAAAGGAATGATACTACAAAAATAGCT